CGAATGGCCACCTCTAGTGTCTCGTCCACCTCGAGAGCTAAAACCACAATCCGTTCTTCTTGTTTTTGCATCTTCTTCACATCATTAGTCATAGGATATATGGCCCGCTTTTCTTCAAATGCCTGTTTTACTTCAGTATAATATTGAAACAGATTTCGACCCTTTTGCTGGGCCAGATAAATTTTCAACATCAAATCATGAACATGCGATACATCATGTTTACTAGCATACATAAACCCTAGATAGTCCCACATTTCTTTCACAGTGTCACAATGATTAATAACATCATCAACTGTCAGGTCAAGAGTATTATGAATTTGATTAAAGAGTTTATCCTCCTCCATCAACCATTTTTTTTCGAATCCCAGGATTAGTATCAAACTGTAGAGGTGGATCATCAGTCAAATGGTCGCCCAAATCTAAACTTGACACATACCTACGGACAATTCTCTTTCACTGAGCATAATTTCTACTACCCGTTAGCTTTCTTTTTGTGATTTTGTATATGGGGTTATTGTAATTACATTCATCAATTTTTTATCACCTTCCACCATTGATTAATGGAGAACCAAAAGAGAACACAAAATAAACCCCAAACCAACTTAATAATAATATCAATCTGACAATATTGCACGTCCAATAAAATGCAGCCCAAACAAAATAAATCAATTCAACCAAACTATAATGAAACTAACCCACCTAAAGCCCAAACAAATAGCCCAAATCAGCAACTCCTCTACAGCCTAAATACAAACAGAGTCCACTGCTGCGCAGCCCAAAGACAAGCACGGTCCACGGCTGCGCTAACGACTTACCCACTGGAAGGAGAAGAGAAAATGATGAAGCCAGAGAAGTCAAGAGAAAACGACGATCTCACACACCCAACACCCGCCACACGCAACGGCAACAGTGGACGTCTGTCGTGGAGCCAGAAAGAAACTGAGTCAGAATCACAAGGAGACGTTGAATGGTCAGCGCAAACCAATTTCCGCCGCCACAGAAGACTCGCCTGATCTTCAACCACTAAGAATTACCTCCGGTAAGTGTCGATCCAACACAGAAAGCACCGATCTAGAAAATAGCCACCTTCGAGAACAATTCGACAAATTTTCGAAAACTTGCAAGCCTTAATTTTGAGAACCTAGCTCTGATACCATGTTAATTGATTTGAAAAAAACCTCGATTTCTCATTTTTATTCACCAATGGGAATACACACATATACATGAAGAGGTTATTTCTCAAAAGGAAATAATCCTCTCTAAGAAGGAAATAATTCTAGACTTTGTATTCCTACTATACATCACGTTTATTCCCAAATTAGGCACAGTTCATAACAGAGATAAATAAATTAACAAAATAAGGTTACTGATGGAAATATCAAATATTCAACCACATTACACCAGATTTATTTTATTAGGTACAATGAATCCAAGCACAACGACAATACCTCATTGTCAGCTAACTAATGACTCGTTCTAGCATGTTAAAGCTAGGGAAAAGAATATGTGGGAATACTCGGTACGACACGAGTGATTGTTTAATCTCGAATAAAAATATTAAATCACGCGTCAAAAATATCATACCGTCATATCATATGTTTTGAAATTGGTAAGAACTCATAATATATTATATCTTTGGTACTGTGATGCCATTTTCATATCATATCATAACTTTAATTATCATAATGTTTCTCAACATGAAGAAATAAATGAAACGGGATAAGCCACTTGCATCTTAAAATCCTACCTTAAACCTTCGAAATCTTGAGTTGATGCCCACAAAAATTCAAATTTTATACATATTGAAGCTGCAAAAAAAAAAATGATTTTTTTCTTCCTAAAAGATGGAGGATTATGAGGGGAGGGAGGGGGGGGGGGTTATCCGTGTGTATGTGTGTGTGTATATAGTGGAGGAAAAATGATAGGTATATAGTGGAAGATAAACTAAGAGATATTTGAAATGGGAAAAAGAAACTTGAGTTTATGGGATAATGTGAGGTGGTTAATAGGAAATAACAAATAAGATATATCCAATATTTTTCAAACTTAATGATAAACATGGATTTATATAATATATATATATTTTTTCTTTTCCTAATTATCTTAAAAGTTATTTAATTAAGTTATAAAATAATACCCATTAATTACGATCTTTGAATTGAAATAATTTGGACTTAACTTATATGAACTATTTCTCGAGTCGAAGATTTTTAATTAATTATAGCTATGGAAAGAGTCCAATATTGATATACTAATTAACACTTTTATCAATAATTAATTATTTGACCCAAAATAATATTGGATTTAATACTATTTTATCTTAGTCTATCAACTTTCCAAAATTATAAAAATATAGAAGATAGGACAAATAGTTTCATATTATAAAATTTTCGAGGCGTTACAATATATATAAAACTATACGTTTCAAATATTTATATATGTATCTCCTTCCCTTCTTTTCTTTAGTACTCTTATACTTTATGGTGGTAAAACAAGCATATGAATTCTTTTTTAAAACGCTTTAGGGAGATTTTAGGAGGCACAAAAGTCTACAATTTGGTGAATATCAAGTCAAGGTTTTCAAAGGTTCAAGTTAGGTTACGATGTACAAGCGTTTTGTCCCCGTTTATTTTATTTCTTCATGTTAGTATATATTATGCTAATGAAAGTTATGATATACCTATCAAAAAAAGAAAGTTATGATATGATATTATATGAAATGGTCATCTGGTACCAAAGATATGATATATTACGAGCTCTTACTGTTTCTAAAGATATGATATTTTTGACGCGTAATGTAATACCTTTACTTGGGGATTACACAATTACTCGTGTCCTATTAAGTATTTTCATATACTCACCTTTTTTCCCTATCTCACACAAGTTAGATCGGATTGTTGTCTAGCAGGCAATGAGGTGTCGTTGTGCTTGGATTCTTGGACTAAATAAATTAAATTTGCCGTAGTGTGATTGAAGTTTTTATTCATGCAGTAACTTTTGTTTTATTAATTTATTTATCATTTTCCTGATATTTAAATTCAGAACATGGAACCACACTGTTTGTTATGTTAAATCTTTGAAATCAATATCTTATGATCTTATGATATTTTTGTTTTCTGTCATGTATAATAAAACGTGTAACTTAGTTAAATGGTTTAGACTTCTTATTGGATTGTAGTTATAAAATGGTTCATTGATTTTGTACTGACAAAGAGAATAAAATACAGATTTTCCTTCAGCAAGTTGCTTTTCCTGTTAAATTTCAAGGAATTGTTTTTGGTGAAACATATATATTATACATCAAATAGTTGATACATGATTTCTGCATTAATTTAAGGATAATGTGGTTGCCTCTACTGTATACATTTTAATTACTCAATGTATGTCTATAAGAAAATAAATAAATAAGTATTACATGGTAAATTATTTTGTTGTCTATTCTTTTAGGGATATACTCGTTAAGTTAAATGAAAGATTTGAAAATTTTTACGTAACTTTCAGTAATCTGCAAATACATAATTTTATACATAGTTGCATTGTCAACTTGCAAAATTTTAAAGAAACTTTTGGCAGCGATTTAAATTCTAAAATTTGGGTAGTTACATATTACCTCACCAAACATCCGTAAGAGAATATTTTAGAATTTCTTCCCCAAAATATTCATATTTTCTCTCCTGTTCCCAATTCTATAATGAGGAATCCTCTGTCCTGTTATAGAAGCGATCATAATCATTATCCTTCCAGCATTCTCTTCCTCTTGTATTTCTCCTGAATTGGAAACCTATCTACTCTCAAAGTAATGCTTACTAAAGCTCGCCAATCTTCTCATTCTTCCTAATTGACATAAGAAATTAGCATTTATTTCATTCAAGATCTTTGATGATAGTTCTTCTCTCCATCTTCGCCTTGCTAGGAGAATTTTTTCATAGCTTTGTAGAACTTGTTTTAGAAGAAACTGGTGTCTCAGGAAGGGACTAGTAATTTGTCAGCAAGCTTGATGAAGTGAGCCAAATGTAGTAAGTATTGTTACTTCAAGCTGCTAGCCTTCTTTCAAAACTCTCTAAAACAGGCTTCCGTACCTCTTGTCCTTGAAATTTCAGTGGCCATCCAAGGTAAAAAAATTTAAGACATGATACTCTACTCTTGAAAATTCTCAACAAATCACCAATGTTACCACTCCAAACTAATGGTGAATTGACTGATTTTCAGCTTTATTTCCAACCTGAACATCTGCAAACCATACTGAACATATCATGTGAGCTTGAACATATATTGTAATTTGTATTTTATGAGTTTTGTATTTTAGATCACTAATCCATAGAACTTTTTGTGAATTGAGTTATTGACATCTTCTATCTAAATATGCTTCAATCTTCAATAGTTGTTCATGTGTATCACATATATTATGGATTCTACATGCATGCATGTGCTTAATAGATATAGTATGTCTGTTTATTAAACACATGCAAGTAAAAATGTTATATGTCAGTATGTGTATGTGAAATGGACAGGCACATGCACGCATACATGCATACATGTGTGTGTGTGTGTGTGAGTGTTGACTTTGCTTAGAGTATCGAGTTCAACCATTATTCCAGTTGGGGTATTTTTTTATTTTTCATAAGTATGTTATTCATTTTGAGGATTCTGCTAAGAGTACCCATGTTAATTCAAAGGATGGATAAGGTGTCATGCGCAGGTAAGTCACAAATTGAAGAGTTGAAGTAGCATATAGATTTTATGTACTTGTGGACATGTCCTGTTATCAACTAATAGTAATATGTTTAAATGAGTGGTCCTAAGTACGTCTTCTTGTGTTATGTACTCCCACGAGCTATTTTCAGGTTTTATAAATAAGATAGGGTCGGGGAATCCCCCCCACCCCCAAAGTCAAGATGGAGGCCTAAAAAACCTGCGTGTTTCGATTTCCCAAAAAAAGTTGTTTTCAGGTGTTGCATGCCAAATTTTTTTACTTTTCTGTATATTGTGTTTCTTGGCAGAGGCGCATATTGGAATACACGAAGTATGAAATGTTGAACAAAGCATTAGAGGCATTTGGTGATCTTGGAGATGACGAGGAATTGGGACCAGCTGACTGGCCTACTGTTAAGAGATACATTGCATGTTTGCATGATCTTGACGGTGAACAAGTACACCCTCATTCTTCTGAAAACGACGACAACATTGACCATATGAATTTAAAAGATATTCGAGTACGCTTCTTAAATGGTAAGGATATATGTACTTATACGATTCAGTAAGCACTAATTAGGTAAATCAAATCGTAACTAGTGTGGGAAAATAAAAAATAATATCCTATCTAAGTCCTTGAAAATCAGGAATTATGTACAATAGAATATACATTCATATAATTCAGCTTTTCCTAATTGTTTAAAACATGGAAATCTTCCAACAACTGAGTGTAAGGCATAAAAATGGTATGTTAGACAACTTGTGAAAGAAGTTCTCGCCATTTTGATTTTTTAATTTGTCAACCTGAATTAGATTTCATATCTCTGCATTTTTTTCTTACATATATATTTTTTTTGTCATTGAATTTAGATATTTTTTGTTCACATGTAACGGACACGTGCAAAAATTAATGCTTGAATATTTTTCATTTATCCATTCACGAGAATTATGTAGGTGGAAAGGAGAAAGATTATTTGTTATTGATGACAAGAACTAAAGGGTGGATGTACAGAGATAAGATGACTATGTCCAGATTCACCCATTACAAATATAGTTCTGATTGGTTTTACTTACAAGGAAAGGAGATATATAGTAATGTCCTGTTTCTCCAAGTACATCTACCAAATTAATAGAGTCTAACATTGAAATCCATTTCATCGACAAAGTAGTACCAAGTAGAAGAGTACACCCTGAGAAACTACCTATGGCTGCATGCATCTGTCATCAAGTTGAATTTGTTCCATTCATTCAAGTCAGCTAAGAAATTTCTTCCCTTCATAATTCCGAACTAGATAATACAATATATAGTCATTGTGTTTATATTTTCCAGTTCAGTAAAAGCATTGGACAATATTTTAAGGATCCATGTCAAACAAAAAGACATTTTGGCCATTTGGTTTGAACTACTGCATGAACGTGGATTTAATTTACTAACTTAAGAAAATATTCTGATTATAGGTGTTCAGGCATCTTACTGGAGCATGCTTGATGAGGGAAGGATCACACAAATTACTGCCAATCTTCTAATGCAATCCGTTGATGAGGCAATTGACCTGGTATCCCGTGAGGCTTTGTGCGACTGGAACGGTTTAAAATCCAATATAAATATGCCAAATTATTACAAGTTTCTTCAATCGAGCATTGTCCCACAAAAGCTTGTCACATATTTCACTGTCGAGAGACTAGAATCTGCATGCTATATTTGTGCTGCCTTTCTCCGTGCACATAGAATCGCACGACAGCAAATACACGATTTTATTGGTAAGAATTTTATTTTGATCCTTGGTAATGCTATTTTTTTCATGCTTATGGTTTCAAATTGTGGAAGTAATTATTTCTCGTCTGTTCCTTGTTCCATCCTTCTTATTTCTATTTTAGCTGCAGGTTATTTATGGCATTTTCTCCTGTTTGAATATAATTTCAATTTGGAAATTATTTGTGTCTGTGTGTAATGTACTTTTTAATCAGTGGAACGAAGTTTGTTTGGCATGTCAGATATGAATCTTTTACATTATTTGTTTGATCAAAGTGTTTCATTTAACTTCTAGCTTTGATAGAGTGGTCATTTTCTGCTTGAGATGATTTCTATCAGCTTACTTGCTCTTTCAGTTTTTTATCCTGGTAATAGATTTAATGCTTATGGTAGATTGATGGTGAATGTACTTGGATGACGAAGAAAGAGCATATTTTTTTGATAAATAATCAAATGTTTTATTAATTAAAAGGTTGTGTATTACACACTTAAACAAGAAATAAATGTCATGAAATTAGGCAGCCCATCTATGTGACTAGAAGCTACAACACTAAACTAATTATACAATGTCAAATAAAATAATTCTTTAAACTGTTCTAAAGTTTTCATCTGATCATCAAAACAACGCCCGTTTCTTTCTCTCCACACGCACCAAACAATGCAGCCTGGAATAAGGTCCCAAACGAGTTTACTGTCCTTGTCACGAAACTTTCTCTTCCAAGCCTTCAACAAATCTTCCATATGGCGAGGCATCACCCAATCCATATGTTGAGTAGCCAAAATATCATTCCACAGCAAACGGGCGCCATCACAATGTAGGAATAAATTGTCAACCGTTTCCCCATCCTTTCTGCACATATGATACCAATTTGTAATATAAAACCCCCTCAATCGAAGATTGTCCGCTGTTAAAACTTGTCTTCTCACTACCGTCCATAGTAAAAACCCCACCCTTGGAGGCAGTTTACACTTCCATACCATCTTCCAAGGGAAAAAATTCTTCGCAGATCCCAATAAGGATTTGAAATAAGTGCTAACTGTGAAAATGTCATCCCTTGTCGGCATCCACTGATGCGGTCACACTCTCCAACCCTGATATGCACGTCATACAAAGAAGTCAATAGCACTGCGTAATCATCCACTTCCCAATCTTGTAGTCCTCTCCTAAAAACAATGTTCCAACTGATGCTCCCGTTGTGTGTATCTAATACATCATTCACCATAGCAGATGGCATCACGGCAATACAATACAAAGAAGGAAATCGCTCCCTTAACAGTTGATCAGTACACCAACAATCATCCCAAAAGCTGATAGTGTTGCCATTTCCCACACCAAAGGTCACTCTCTTACGAAAGTCACTCCACCCTCGTCGAATAAACCGCCATAAACTCACCCCGTAGGTACCACGGCTCTCAACTGAACACCATCCACCCTCCAACATGCCATATTTCTCTTCTATAATTTCTCTCCAAAAACTCTCCCTCTCCACCCCAAACCGCCATAATCACTTACCCAACAAGGCCTTATTAAACAATACAAGGCTCCTCAATCTGAGTCCCCCAACCTTTAAGGGAGAACAAACTGCAGCCCAATTTACTAAATGAAATTTCCTCTCCTCTCCTAACCTTCCCAAAGAAACTCCCTTTGGATCCTCTCTAGTCTCTTAGCCACTATAACAGGAATGGGGAATAAAGACAAGAAATAAGTGGGGAGATTCGAGAGAGTAGACTTGATAAGAGTAAAACGACCTCACTTTGAAAGGTATATATGCTTCCAACCCGCTAATCTCCTTTCCATCCTTTCCACTATACTGTCCCAAATGTGTTTACTTTTGAACCTTGCTCCTAATGGGAGCCTAGGAAACGAAGAAAGAGTATATGAATGGCCTTTATCTCTCTTTCTCTGTCTCCGCTCAAACATAAAATAGTTTTCTGTAGAGAAATATTATTTGTACTCGTGTAATCTCTGTGACTAGTTGGAGAAAAAAATTGACAAAACAGAAGAAGAAGTTAGAGTCCTTTTGGAATTTGGAGCAATGCTCTTTTCCTTTCATCCAATCAATAAACTTCATACGTGAGATTAAAATCTGCTTATATAACTATGATTACCTATAGGCGGAAGCATTAATACTTGTAGGACATAGCAGGCCTTTTGTAGTAGTTTTCCTTATGAAGCAAGCATTAATACTTACCGGCGGCTCGTTTCCGACCTGAATTCTCTCTTTCTTCTCTCCCTTTCCGAGTTATTATTGCATCTATCATTCATTGTCCATTTCAAAGTAGTCCTCTTTTTCTTTCATTTGATTTTTATCTGTTTCTGTTGAATACAAAATTATAATTCAGTGCCGGACTTGGGTTGAATTCTATCGTTGATTAATGAGAATATTATCGAGTAATCATTAATAGCTGTTTCGGTTTACATCCGCTGGGTTCCAAGTTTCAATCCTTTTTATGTTAATTTATTGGAGTTATTGGTGATTCTGGGTTTTTAGGCAATAATGCGTGTTGGATTTTTGAGTTCTTGATTAATCTTTAGCTCTAATTGATCTTCTTGATTTTGGGTTTTTTTCGCAAGCAAGCAAAAGAAAGAAAGTTTTTGTTGTCCTGAATCGGAAAGGGGATACTTTTTCTTATAGATCCATTCTTTCTAATTCTGTAGTGGTATTATTGTTAGCTTTTTGCGTAACATATTTAGTATTTAGAATAGAAAAAAGAAGGAAAGGATGAGAGAGACTGTTGTTTATTATAGTTATATTTTTATTGTTTCTCTTTTATTTTTTTAGGCACTTTTAGGGTTAAGATTAGTTGAACGTTAAATTCTTTTTTAGGTTTAGAAGCTTGTTCATGTTTCTATTTTGTCTGAAAAGGATGAAATTCGTTGATAAAAGTGGATGGAGAAATATATAAAGGAAAGAGTCATCCCACTTTAGGCCCCTTCGCGATCATCTTCCTGGACACTAAATCCTGCACAACACAACCAGAACGAGAAAAATGGACATCACAATTGTTATAAACTAATTGACCAACAGAAATTAAATTTGTAGAGAGATCAGGAGACATAAAGATATTAGTTAAGAAAGAAGAAAGATCACCAACAGCACTGATAGGCTGGCAATTACCATCAGCGGTGTGAATTTTTTTATTCCCATCATAATTTGTGACATTGGAAAGAGGACCAACGGTATTGGTCATATGATTAGAAGCTCCAAAGTCAAAGAACTATGGTGGAGAAGAAACTGTATGAGTACCTGAGAGGCCAAGGGTGGAATAAGCAGAATGGATCATCTGTTGTACCATTTCAGGGATAAGTGTGTTCGGGTTTGCTAAGGTTGCAGAAGCAGTAGTAGGAACAACTAAGGAGGCAGTAGGCAATGTAGCAGAGCGATAGGCACTAGTGGACGCATGATATGCAACACTATGCTTCCTTTCAGGGCGAATAGGATAAACGGAGATGTAATTACCATGTTTCTTGCAGTAATCACAATACTTCTTAGGACAATCTTGAGCAATATGACCAAAAGCCTTACAACTATAGCACTGAATAGCACGTATGTCTTGACCTTTATTCTTTCCTTGCACTGCATATGCTACAGTAATAGGAGAACTAATAGCAGCACCATGTTCCATAGCAGCCTGAGTAACAATATGTTGCTCCTCATGAAGGAGTTCACTCAAACAATCATTCAAAGATGGTATAGGATAACGATTCATCAAATTAGAACGTGCAACTTCAAAGTCGGAACGTAGTTTCATTAGGAATTGATCTCTCTTGCTTGTCTCATGCACATTTTGAACAGCAGATAGAGCCTCAGCGGGGACAGTAGCATAAACAATATCGGAATACTCAGTCTAAAGATTTTGAAAACCAGAAAAATATTCCTCAATTGAGAGACTTCACTATGTATAATTAGCTAACTCATATTCCAATTGAAACCTTTGAGCCGTGTTATCCTGTTTGTACAGCTTACTAAGATAGTTCCACATATTAGCAGCAGTTTTATACAATCTCAGATTGAGAAAAAGGTGAGGCTCAACTGAACCAAGGATCCAAGTCATGACTCGAGCATCCTTGATTTCCCACTTAGACAAAGCCTCCACGTCTTAAAGGGCAGGACTACTTCCATCAAGATGACCCCATAGCTCTTTTCCTTTTACAAATAATTGAAATTGAAACTCCCATGCTAAGTAATTTTTACCATTAAATCGGATATGGAAAGAATCTAAATTATTTGAAGACAAGATGAACAAAATAACTCCCTTGAATATATAACCCAGACCAATCAAGTGCTCAATAGTAAACCAAACAAGGTGTTGACCAGAATAATTATAAAACCTGTCCCTAAAATAACACAAATGGCCGACCTGGACAGAAAACACGATGAACCCGACCAGAAGCAGTGAAAATGTTGGCCAAAAATTCACAAGAATCCAAGAAATTCAAACCAATCGACCCAAATTACCAATCCAAAGACGCGTGAAGGAATTACTACCCAGAGCTACAAAGGCCGACGACCGGAGAAGAGAAACTTACCAGAGTTACGAAGTGGAAACGCGCCGGAAGGAGCCTAAAGTTACAATCGGCGAGAAAACCCTGGACAGGGAAAACAAATCCAAGCCGGCTAGACACCAAGCTCTGATACCGTGTCAAAAAGCCAAGAGAGAGAGTTTGTAATTTTCTTGACAAAATCCTTGCTTCTTCTAGTTATTTTGTCATACATATATATGTACAATTTGTTTCTATAATTGGAAGATATAAATCCCTATAAATCAGCTATAATTATAGAAATATAATTTCCTTAATTATTTATGTTAACAAGCATGTTTTGGTCGCTTTTGGTTTCTTTAAGTTATATGAAATAAAATCCTGGATAAACTTATTTAAGAGCTTCATAACAAGTCAATTTTGTTGGTTATACTTGAAGAAAAATTATTCATACTTTAAGTTGTGGAGCATCATATGGAGTCTAGAAATCTCTCTTTCTTTGCCCCCACCCGGTAATTTTTAACTTGAGAATCTCTATCCAACAACTAGGAGTCGACAAATCTCTCTCTGTCTTGCTATTTCTTTTGTGCTATGCTTGCTCTCAGATTTTATGGTATTTTGTTTTGCTCTATTCAAAATGACCATAAAGCTGGCATGCTTAATCTTGGTTGTCATACTCCCAATGCAACTTAAGAATGTTAACCAGTTTTCTTAATCACTTTTTAGTGAAAAATGAAATAAGTACATTTCACCTCTTAATACATTTTTAGATTTATGTACTTACACAAAAACAGCTTTTCTTGTTTCAAATATCTTTTTAAATGCGCTGTTCACTTCAGGAGACAGTGAAGTTGCATCCATTGTAATTAGAGAAAGTGAGCAAGAAGGTGAGGAAGCGAGAAAGTTTCTGGAAGATGTTCGTGTTACATTTCCTCAGGTACTGTAAATGTCTGAAACCAAATCCCTAAGAACTTAAAGTGGATAATGATATCGCTTTCTCCTCAAGAAGATTCTTAGTCATGTTCAAAATTCAAGTGGATATTGATTCTCTCTCTCAATAAGATTCTTAATCTTCTTTAATAGAATCAGATGCATTTTGAGACAATAGTACTGTCGTCTCCCTCCACATGAAGAGGATGATAGGTATATTATTGATCCACTATTTTGACTTGCCCAATAATTTCAAACTGAATACTTGCAGGTATTGCGCGTTGTGAAAACTAGACAAGTCACGTACTCTGTGCTGAATCATTTGGTTGAGTATGTTCATAATCTTGAGAAGATTGGTTTATTGGAAGAAAAAGAGATGACCCACCTTCATGATGCTGTCCAGGTAGATATGTTTGTCATTTACTTTAACGTTCTTCAATTTTGATGCTATCATTTCATATTTTTACTGATTAGAATTTAAACTTAAATGTAGACTGACTTAAAAAAACTCTTAAGAAACCCTCCCCTGGTGAAAATTCCAAAGATACGTGATTGGATAACTGCCAACCCTTTACTTGGAGCCCTTCCTTCCAATGTGCGTGAGACACTTGTAGGATCCACCAAAGAAATAATGAAATTATCTGGTGCAACACTTTATAGGGAGGGATCCAGGCCAACTGGTATCTGGCTCATTTCAAATGGAGTAGTGAAGGTAAGTGGCAATTATGCAATTGACATACTAAGATATAGTTGTATCTTAGATTCGATAGCTTCAGCTGTTAACTATGAACACCTGATGGATTAATATTTGTTTGACAGTGCGAAAGTAAGCTTATGAATAACAATCATTTGCTACACCCAACTTTTACACATGGGAGTACTTTGGGCTTGTATGAAGTACTTGCAGGAAAGCCTTACATCTGTGATATCATCACAGATTCTGTGGTACTCTGCTTTTTCATTGAAACTGAAAAGATACTTACTGTACTTGGATCTGATCCAGCTGTAGAAGATTTCTTTTGGCAGGTATGATGATACTGGGATTTTTTCTAGATTGAAGAACCTATGCAGTTCCATTGCTCACTTCTGTTTCTTGTTAAATTCCAATATTTTAGCTGAGCTACATACACTATATTTCATCCCTAGAATCCAACAATATGTAGTGGGTAGTTATGTATCCCTAAGATTATGAGCAGAATAGGACATTTCTTCAATTTGATGTGTTTTAACTAATGACAGATGCCAGTATCTTTCTAAGTGATCACAACATTTTAATGGTAAAGCATATCATTGCTTGCAAGTGGTTGTTCAAATATCTTGAATCACCGTTACATTAGAAGATTGACCCCCTTGTCTGCAGGAAAGTGTTATTGTTCTAGCCAAGTTCTTGCATCCTCATTTGTTCAACAAACTGTCAATGCAAGATTTGAGAGTGCTAATTGCTGAAAGGTCGACAATGAATATATACATAAGAGGAGAAAGTTTTGAATTACCTCATCATTCCATTGGTTTTCTGTTAGAAGGATTCATAAAATTGCAAGGTACACAAGAAGAACTGCTTACCCATCCCGCAATAATACTGCCACATGCAGATCAAAGAATTCGCCAATCAGAAACATCAGGTACTTCTTAAATTGACAACTTGATGGATATACGTTTACAACAATATTTTGTAATTTAGAATCTGTATTTTTGACAAAGCTGTTATCTTTACTTAGCAGTAATTTCTTACCATGCTAGAAAAAGGGTTTTCTTTTGATTTTTTTTAGAAATCTGCATGCATTCCCGGTAAACTTATTAAGAAATACGAATGAATCATATACAAACCACATGACCAACTCCAACGTTTTTCACTAATGATGGCAGTGAGAGACAAGGACAATAGAATACAGAATGTCCATAAATTTACATTCCATTCCCTGAAGCATATTTTAAAAGGCACTTCTTTCTTTTCCAGCAATTTTGTTTCATTCCTTTGTTTAATTGTAGAACGACTAATATATCAGGGCCAAAGGAGGAAAATATCAGGGTCAGTGCCTTTCATTAAATCTAGATTATTATGACAGGATGAGGCAATGTTTTACAAGACATTCGTCTCTCTGGCATCTCTTTGGAGTTTTAAACATGTCCATAATTCTCTTTTGAAAGTTCTGTTACCTTTTTCAATGTACAGTATATTGTGCTATCCTTCATGTTTTTCTTTTCCCATTATTTTTCACATTAGTACTAACATTTTCTTTGTGAGAGCAACTTTCTGATTGCTTTACACTACGCATCAAAAAATGCCATTTTCTGAATTTTCTGGTTGGACAAACAAAATCATAGAGTAAAACAATCCTGTTGAAGCAGAAAGCAGTACTGTTTAATACGAATCATTTTTCTTGACATGCATCATTTCTAGTTTTGGCTATGAGCAAGCACTATAGGACTATCCTTGAGATCTTTCCTCAGGAGAGAAAACTCTTCACAGAATGTATCATAAATTAGCTATTGACACTCAACTTCAGTGTAAAATTATTATTTGCTACCTTGGCATGACTATATTTGCTATAAATATGGTGTAAAATGTTTTTGAAGTACTAGCCATGAGATTTATGTAAGGTCATGTTAAATAGATATATCAGTATTGATTTGACCATTACTAATTAGTAGTTTATCCAATATAAAGAATCGCATGAACCAAGTCTTTGAATATGACCATATTCCTTGTCCTCATTCATCCCATTTTGGATCCAAAATATAGGTGCCATAGGAGCTAGTTTCTTTCATCAACTGTCTCGGTATCAGGTAGAGACGAGGGCAAGAGTGATAATGTTCGATGTTTCTGGATTTGAGTCCAGCAGAACCCTTCAGCGAAGGTCATCTTCACTGATATCACATTCTGCTGACCATCCATCTGGACCTCTAGCTAGAGAGCATGGTGGTCTAATGAGTTGGCCTGAGCATTTTTACAAGTCTAGCCGACAAGTCCATGCTCTGGAAGAGACTGATCAACAAGGAAACAATTTGTCAGCGCGGGCTATGCAGTTAAGCATCTTTGGAGGCATGGTAACTTCATCTCTTCATGTTTTTGGTTTTAAATACTTTCATGATTATGAGAAAGATGCATAACTTCAGCACCTATTTATGGTTATTTACTTTTGCATTTTGCTCTGTCAATTTGATGAATGAAACTTGCAGGAGAAGGAATTATAAGGTAAAATAGCAATATTTTTGTTAAACAACTTGGCCCAGTAGAACATATATACCAAATAAGAGATATACAAATGATTCTAGGGTATTTGTCCCCTAAGAATTTCTAAGAACTCAGATGCGTAGTGATGGTTAATGATTAAGTACATGTTTTATAAGAGAATAAAATTTCTGTGATAAGCTAATAACTGAAGAAGGCCAAAATACCCTGACTTATAAGTGGCAGGCAAAAATAAAAAGACTGCAAAAGGCCAATATGAATAGAACTGGCTCCAAAGAAATTTGTAAGAAAAATACGTATGCTCCTGTACACTCTGCCCATGTTCCTCTAGCAAGGAAGTCTGATGATTTCATATACTTCTGGATCTAACTCTTTTCAGCTCTTTGTCTAACATCTATGTACTTTTTCTAGTGGACTTGGTCATTTCACAAAGAATCTGCCATAGATATTTCCTCTTCCAGAACTGACCTCTTTCACATTCTAGATATCCTCAATAATATCTGATGGTCCTTTGAGAGGAGATCAACATTCAGTTGCATTTCTCCATTTATTACTTTCAAATAAAATATACTCGTTGTAAGCCAACAGCATTAATGTGAAGATAATCTACAAGCAGTCAGGGAAAAATAATGGTGTGTGCAAGAGACTGATCTTTCTTAACACTTAAACAACCCAAATTTTGTAGCTTTCAGCTCATGGTGAGTGCCTTAGACCTAAATGCGGTAGCACCTAGTCTCTCTGTTGAATTTCTTCAGAGGCATGTGATTGCCTTGCTGGTTCAACATTACAGGTTATTACTAGTTAAAATTGCACAGTGCACTTCCTTGTACAGTTTCTTAACATGCTCAATCGAAAATCCCCCATTATCAGTTAGTTGAGCTTCTTGAGGTTACAGGAACAAGATGACCCATGTTTTGGTTTATAAACATTTGGTAGCTTCGAAGGTAGTGTTTTGGAAGGTATGGTTGAAAGAATTATTATAAGTTAACTCTAACTCTATGCGTGTCAAGATCTCAAGCTAAGTCATCACATGATCCTGAGCAATACAAACTAGCATTAGAGGCTCCTATTTGAAACTTCAATTAGTTCCTCTATTTCTAGGCTAACAGTGCTGGAATATTTAAGTTTCCACTAAACCTTCTAAGATGTTGCCAAAAGTGTCCCATGAACTTTGCATCTCGAACCAAAATAATATGTGGAAATCCCCATAGACAAAGATCCTTGTGATGGAGATTATATTCCTAAGGATGTGTTGATCCCCAGCAATTATTTTGACTACTCTGTTTACTTAGAATGTCTTGAACTGCACCATACCCTTTGATTTGTTGTTTGGTTATGTCCAACTAGAGATTGTCTTGCACCATACCACAAACCCTCTTTTCTACCATCCACAGACATTGTCAAAGATCTCCTAGATTGAAAAATCAAACTCAATCTTATGTCTAGTTAAATGGTAAAGACTGATAAGTTGAAGAGATGTCATCTGCTCATTACTCTCGTTTGTACCAATTTAATTTAGTGCATCTCTTACCTGAACGGCTGAACATATTCATCTGCCCCTTTGTAAGAAATCCGTATTATCTGCATACAAAAATTTCTTTGAATGTTTGGCTTTCTGCGCTTCCCAGTCCAAATTTTGGTTTACCTTGTTGAGTCCATTGCTCTTCAAATTTCTTTCACCATTGAACTATAGCTCCTTTTAACTTTATCTTCATGATTGGCATTCCCCTTTAAATAATCTATTGAAATTGCTCCCTATGGAGAACTTCTTAACTATATGTGGTTCCTCCACTTGAATGAATAGCCAAAATAATTCTCTCTTCCAATCCACAGCGAAGTTCAGGTTTGTATGGAAAGGACCTAACTCCTCTTCAAGATTAATCTCTTCTCCTTTCTTACCATCTTTCTGATTTATGCCCACAATGACCTTAAGTTGCCATCTGCAAGGATCAAGCTTGCTCTGATGCTAAATTTGATGAAGGAAATTCTCAGAATGAAGTGAAACAAAAAATTTTATTTTAGCAATATTAGAGAAATTTGTGAATATTTTATGCATGTGGATGGAAAACTGGAGGAATTGAACAGTGATAAGTATAATTTTCTCTACAAGTTGACCAAAATTAGAAACGAATGAATTGATGGGTATGTTGTTAAAATTCATCAGATAGACAACAACAGGAGACGACGCCACGGTAGCTTTCCAAGATTTACCGGAGTAAAGCCATCTCACAGTCTGTCTTACCCAAGAGTTCCATCAAATGGTGCACGACGTCTTGTTTCTGTCAGATCAGAGGGGTCTTCTACTTTGCGGAAGAAACATGATGTGCAAGAGAGCAAACAAGAAAACACTGCTCAAGATTTGCAGCTACAAGAGAGTCATGCAAGAGATGACTCGAGCGATGATGAGTCTGGTGCCGAGGATGAACACATCGTAAGAATCGATTCACCTAGTAGACTCTCTTTTCGCTATCCTTCTCGAGGATGAACACATCGTAAGAATCGATTCACCTAGTAGACTCTCTTTTCGCTATCCTTCTTGAAGCCATTAGTTCAATTTGCCTGTATACCTGTAATAAGTAAATTAGCTTTCTTGTCCACTTTGGAAACTGTGCTCATGGGTTATTTCTTTTATTGCCCCTTAAATTATGAATTGGTATGATTGAAAGAAATCAGTAGGGGAACAATTTTTGTGTGTATTTTGGATTGAATGTGATTACAGGAATAATTATTATGTATTTTAAGGGGAACTAGTTACAATAAAGAAGGGTTTTTAGGCAATTTGTTGTCTAGTTGCACTTTATTTAGGCTACATTATTGAGTTATTATTGGGAAGCAGGGCCACGTAGGCACTGTTTTTCCACCCTCGCCCCCAACTCCCCACCCCCTTTTCTTTTTCTACGTGGCCCTGTTTGAGAATAATTATTGTACATTATTTGGTTTTGCTCCTTTTCTGAAGTTCACAATTTAGTCATCAAACTTTTAAATTATTGAATTTAACTCTCGAAACTTATGATTTTATTCCAATTGCTCTCATAGAGCTCCATTTTTATTTTTTATTTTTGGTTGAAATTAATTTTTGTAATAGTAAATTTTTGGCAAATATGTGATTAAAAAGTAGGAAATTTTTTTATTTTGAGTGCATAGTATTTTACGGTGAAAATGTGTAGTTGGAAATGAGTTTGAGAAAAAATATGATTTTAGATAATGAGGATCAAAAAAGGGCTTAATTCTTCGAATAATCTTCAATTGTTCTGATCCAACTTCAATTAAGCTCAAAATGCCTTTCTTACGCTAATTGCATCCAAGTTGGAGTTTTACCTATAATTTACATTTACTTCCAAATGCCTTTCTTATGGGATTTGGGAATATTAGAACTCATATAAGTTGGGTTGGGTAATCAATAAATGGATTATGGATATGGATATATCATATATGGCATGTGGATATAGTGATTGGATTTGGATATGGATGTCTCATATATAGAATATGGATACAATGATTGGATTTGGGGCTTGTGGGTTGTAGGCAGCTATTGGGAAACCGCGTTTGGCCGGTCGATAGCTGTTAGGTTATATATATAAGGTCAAAATTTTGTGGGGTCATTTGACTCCAAGTGGGTCCACCAGTGGCCATCGCACGAGTAGAGTGATTTTATTTATGTTTAATTGAAGACTAATAGGCTAATTGTCATTAATGTACACATAAAAAAAAAAAAAAAAACATACGCTAACTAGAGTTCCATCTAAATTTAGAAGTTCAATTTGATATGTTGAATGCCCAAATCTGAAATTACCAATTTATTTCTTGTTCCTCCTCCAATATCTATAATTTATGAACTAGACGCTCCCAATGGCACATTCAAGTTGGCGGAACAATCACATTTGGGGGGCTCTGGAACCAAGCGTGGGGAGTTCGATTCCTGATTTGAGCAGCCAAGTGATGTAATAATCAGAGGAAGGGTTGGAGCAGTTTGGTGATGTAATAACCATGGAGGAAGCTCCTTTTGGGGAAGGAGTAAAAGCCATGTGGGAACCTGGGAACCAATAAGGGCACATCCTGCGATTTACCTCCCTGAGCAGCTGAGGGGCCGGAGGTTCAGGGACGAGGATATAGTCTGGCGTAAGCTAGGACACCTCGTTAAAAAAAATTAAAAATAAAAATTATGAACTAGACCAAAGTCTAAAGTGAGCTCCTGCCCAATTTGTCGGTGGATATGAAGACAACAAACTTTAGCAATCAAACTACGTCTCACCTCTCAAGTCTCAATCCAATGTTGGTATTAGGAAAATATTATTTGTACAGAAAAATAGTTTACCACTTTGTTTATAGATTCTCACATTCGCGTGGGTTCCAAGTGAAAAAGAATGATAAAAAATTGCTCCCCCTCCCCCTATGAGTCTGTTCTGTCAGGGAGGGTGTACAAACAGCAAGGTTCTTGGTATTACCTTATATTGAGAAAATTTACAACTTACTTTTTGAACCACATTAAGTAATGTCCGACTCCATCACTGTTTTGTAGTATGCCTATTATTTACTATCACACAAACGGAAGTTGAAAATTAAATTTATTTTTCCTAGTTAGGGTTAAAATTGCTTCATATCTTATGTTTAAGTTGTATATAATTTATCGGAGAAATTGGATTAAAACATGAAAATGTTGAATTCAATGTAGATGGATGTTTAAAGCTCTAATTGATGGAATATTTCCCCCACATCAGCTAGGTATTCATGCTATATTAAACTTTCACTCTAAATGTTACAGTAATTGACGCCCATTAAAAACTAACGTCGGCATACGTGACTTTCATCAATCTAACCTCAATTATAATTAGGTCACTAATAATTTACAGAAATCAAGTCACCTGAACTTCAATTTAAAATCGATCAAAGCACCGAATTTTTGGATGCCATTAGCCCCCGTTTGATCCCTATTAAATTCAATTACATTACATTTCATTTTTCTCTCTCCTATTTTCAACCACACAATCTTTCATAAAATAATATTACACGTAAATTGAAAACTTTTCCTTTTTTTTTTTTCAACCATTCATTTTTCTAAAAAATACTATTCCCCCCATTTTCATTTTCATTTTCAGGTAATGGGATCAAACGGGGGGAAATGATATGACATATCAAATTTAACGACATGTAAGTGAAAATGAGCGATTTTCTCGTGTATTCATCCCATGATTAAATGTTAACACGTTAACTTTATCTCAAATATCAATTTATGACATCCAAATAAAGTTCTTTAATTACTGTTGAATTGAAGAACCGTTAGTCGACGTGGATTGCCACATATGCATAAGTTAGTTTTAATATCCATCATACGAGTAGAGTGTTTTTAGTTTTGTTAAGTTAATGTCCAGTTTTACCTAATTGTAGCTAGAATAAAAATTTGGCGATTGCTTGTACAATTAACCATTTCATTAAACAACACAAACATCTATTGGATGCATGGGCAATTTTGTAGCAAAGGAATTGATGGATGCAATCTGACAGAGATTCTGTCAAATTGACGTGGTACAGTAAAAAAAAAATAAGAAATACATTGTCTACTTACGTCTAGATTCGAAAGGTCGCCTAATGAAAATTCATAGGATGACTTGTAAATCAATTTTGAACATGAATGTCTATTCAATAGAATTTAATGATACGTAAGTCGGAAATTTTTCGACTTGGGCCCCCACCTAGGTAGCAATTTGTAGAAATAAAATGCATTGGACATTATCTAAATGAAACAAATTGTGAAATTTAATGATGAGTTTGGAACAAAAATAAATTTGATAACCAGAACGAAAGTGGGGTGTAAGTTGAGTGACTACTCACCGGTTTTGTATAGCCGTTGGCGCTGTGAAGCTAACTCCAAGTCTCTCATTTCTTCCCGATTTCGTAAACTCCGCCAACTATTGTCACTGTGCCCCCTTCAAATTAACCTTCTTCTGCTTCTTCACTGTAACCATTTCCCCTCCCTCAATCTCAATAGATCCGTAGCGTCTTCCTTTTCAACATTTTTTTTTATCGACTATGGCTTCTTCATCTCTTGCGCTTCCTTCTGTTTCCCTCAGAAGGAGCTCAATTTCAACTAGGAATTTGGGTTTCAGGAATGAAATTTCAAGAATTTCCCTCAAGAATTTGGATAGAGGAGGTAAGGTTTTCATGAGCGTCGCTGTTGGATCTCAAGCCACTGTCATCGACGATGCGCTCTTCAAAGATTATAAGCCTTCCCGGGCTTTCCTCTTTCCTGGCCAGGTCATTTTTTCGTTATTTTTTTTTCCTTCTAAATTATGTTATTTTTGCGTGATTTTAGTCTATATTTTAAAGGAATACAACTCAATGTTGAACACTGAATTGCCAAGTTTTGAGTGGGGTGGGGGAGGGTTCGACGAGAGTGAGAGGGAGATTGGACAAGATTCTTTCATCTGTCTTATATTTGCTTTGCTATATGTATTAGTGCAGACTAGTTTTAAAATTTTGTTACTCTTCTAATGTGAGCTATCCTACATTAGTTGTAGTTGTAGTAAATATGTAAACGAACTTAGCTTAATTGAAGGGATTGTTGGTAATTGATTCATAATTGTCTGTTTATTTTTACTGAAGGAGTAGTTAAAATTCCATAAAAATAAAATAAATAAAAAAAGGTGAAAGACTATAATTTCTTGATAATTTTTGAAGTTCGAATCATTCATGGGTCTCAGGCACTTACTCTGGCACCTACCAGAAAAACCAAAACCCTGATGTACTGAATTGGTGTTGATATTTTGAGGGGGATACAATATCCCAAAAAAAAGTCTGCAAGGAAGATTTTGTATGAAAACCTGTTGGATATTGGTGGTTAAATAAATTGAGAATTGAAAATCGATTAAAGTTCGTATCGAATTCGGCCAAATACTCAAAAGCTCGACTCAATCCGTTTAGGCAAAATTGTTTGCCACTTCGCCGCTTCGGGGCGCACAAACGGGGATCGACCTGCCCGGTCAGGTCGCGAGGGTCGAGGGGGCAACGCCCCTCGTGGGGGGTCGGGGGCAACGCCCCCGAAAGAGAATTTTGATTTCTCTGCATGTATTGAAGGGTATATTTGGCATTTCGAAAACCAATATCGGATGAATGAGAAATTACGAAAAAGACCTCAACCATTAGTGAATAGACACCTTTTCATAAATATGCATTGTTTGGAAATGGTGCATGGTTTGGTCTCAACCATTTCGTCCACACCCCTTCATGGTCTATAAATAGGACCCTTTGGGTGTCCTATTCCTCACAGTTTGATATGCAAAACGATTTCATCCTCTCTTCTATCCAAAATCAAAATCATTTCGCTTATTTTGATTTTCTTTCATTTCATCCTTGGAGTACATAAACCTAAATTGGTTCGTTGTACTTGTGTTTTGGAGTGCTACAAACACAAGTGTAGCCGTTGTATCTTGGGAGTCGATTGCCGAAATCCGTAGGCACCGTTGCGGGGCAAATTCGACTTAAGGACAAAGAGTCCAACTCTTGCCTCGGCTTTGTCACCATCATTATACTTATTTCAGCGTCACTATTCACAAAATTCATCCAACAAAACCTTCATTATGTTTGAATTTAGCCAGAACAAAGCTGGTTTTGACTTTAGATTTCGGCTGTCAACCTCATGCCACGGAAGTTAATATCATCTGTCTTCATCTTGCAGGGTGCACAAGCTGTTGGAATGGGTGTGGAGGCTAAAAATGTGACTGCTGCAGCTGAATTATATAAGAGAGCAAATGATATTTTGGGGTAGATTTAATTATGAAACTTGATTTTGACGGGCTTGCGTTATTTTCTGTCATGTTCTTATTTATCCTTCTCTTGATATAAGTTTACCAATGAATAATTAATGTTAATTTGCATCAAGGTTTGACCTTTTGGATGTTTGCATCAATGGACCAAAAGAAAAGCTTGATTCCACGGTTTTAAGCCAGGTATGCTATCACGGTTACAATATTGATATTTTCCTTGTCTATGTAGTACTGTATTCTCATCTATCCTGAAGGAAAATCAAAGGATTGGCAGCATACTTAATTTCATGTTTCGAAGCTAGAAATTTGTGACTGCTATTGGCACCTAGATTAAGAGCAGCAGTATTGTCACTTGTAATTTTAAGTTTTTATTTTTAATTTCTTAAGCTCGTGTTTGTGACTGCTATTATAATTATATGACTTTCGAAATGATTGAGAATACTGTGCTTGACTATGTTAGTGATGATTAGAAACAAAATGAAACTGCAAAATGATTGCTTTACAATATATAATTAGACAATCTTCTTTCCGGATTCATTTGTGCAGCCTGCTATCTACGTCACAAGTTTAGCTGCAGTTGAAGTTCTTAGAGCTCGTGACGGAGGTCAGGCAATAATTGATTCTGTGAATGTCACATGCGGTCTAAGCTTAGGGGAGTATACTGCTCTTGCATTTGCTGGAGCTTTCAGGTGAGCTGCCTAATTCACAAGTCTCTTTTCATTTACATCAAAAAACTTGCCTTCTAGAATGTGTCGATACTTACAAATCCCCAACCTACACATCCTCTTCCGTTCCCCTCAAGAAAAATTAATTCAGTAACAGAAACAGGTGGTGAATATTGGAATCATTTCCCATTAACTCAAGATTTAGCTAGCTAAATTAATTTTTTCTGCTTGGATTTGTCAATTTAGCTTTGAGGATGGGCTCAAGCTGGTCAAGTTAAGGGGTGAAGCTATGCAGGTGATACTACCTATTATTAGCTATTCCATTTGTTTATTAACGTCTGTATCAAGTGACACTTTGAATTAAATCTTCTTGTTATCATCAGGATGCTGCTGATGCTGCGGAAAGTGCCATGGTTAGTATCATTGGACTGGACTCTGAAAAGGTGCAACAGCTGTGTGATGCAGCCAATCAAGAAGTGGACGAAGCAGACAAAGTTCAAATTGCAAATTTCTTATGTCCTGTAAGTTAACTATTTTGTTTCATCTGGGAAAGCAAATTATTTAGTTGTCCTAAGGGAGATACTTTTCCTGAGTTTGGCTTGATGGCGGAGTGCATCCTTTCTCGTAGGGAAATTATGCAGTCTCTGGAGGCTTGAAAGGAATTGAAGCAGTGGAAGCAAAGGCAAAGTCATTCAAGGCCCGAATGACGGTACTTTTTCTCCCTAAAATATTTGTTTTTTTGTGAAAAGTATGCCACTGATTATATCATCTTCACTCAGGTTCGTTTAGCGGTAGCTGGTGCTTTCCACACTAGTTTTATGGACCCAGCTGTCTCAAGATTGGAAGCTGCTCTGGCATCAACAGAATTGAGGACTCCCAGGATACCAGTTATATCCAACGTCGATGCCCAACCACATGCAGATCCAGACACGATAAAGAAAATACTGGCTCGCCAGGTGAGCTACAGACATTGTTTTGTTCCCCTGAACATAATCTGGATTGGATTAAATTTTTTCAATTCTTCCTGTTGATCTGAAATCATAGGTGACTTCTCCTGTTCAATGGGAGACAACAGTGAAGACTCTGTTAAACAAAGGAGTCGAAAAGTGTTATGAATTGGGACCTGGAAAGGTATGCCGCTATCCCTCTTAAAATCTTTCGACTGTTGTCTTTATACCAAGTATTTCTAACGCTAGACAGATTTGGATCATGTATCAGGTTATAGCTGGCATTGTCAAAAGAATGGACAAAAGTGCTGACATTGAGAACATTGGTGCCTAAGCACGAGCATGACCTCTAATTGCTCAAGCTGTGCCTTCCCATCAAAGATATGGCATATTTTTATCGCTGTAAGTTAATAGAAACTCAAGTTCTGACTGATTTGGATGAGTGTGGGTCAAACACTATTCACTAGTATCTATCTGTGAACTGGAATTTTGAGCATTGCATTCACTCGGATGAGATCTAAATAACACAACTTCGAATCTTGTCTGTTGCCAAACAAAGACCTCTACCAATTCAATGGTGAGTCATGATATCAAAGGGACGTGGTATGTTCATTCACAGAGTTACTTTAAGCCATAATACACAATCCGGTGCTATTAGACCCCCTATTTGAAGAATATGTGATTAAAAAATAAAAATAAAATGTTTTAAATTTACGTGAAAAATATTTTATTGTGAGAATGTAGTTAAAAATGAGTATAAAAGAAAAAAAAAATAATTCTGAAAGAATGGTTAACAAACAAGGCTAAGTATCACTACTAATCAACATAAAACAAAGTCCTGATAATCAGGTTAACAAAAATACGCAAAGCGCAAACACGATGACATCTTACAGCATACACGATGACATCTTACAGCATATCGACCACCAATCCAAAGTCAGTAGCTACAACGTAAAACATCAGAACTGATCAAAAAACAAGAAACCACCATCGTTCATTACAGAAGGGATTCCACACATTGAAGCTGAGGAAATCAACAGTTGTACAATGCACTGTAGACTGGATTCGGCAGCTGCCGTCATTACTGAGAATCAGTTTTTCAAGCATCGTATGTACATTCTTCATAGCCTGTGGAGAAATCATATCATTAGTAATATTCATATCTGATTACCTGCCCACAGTGGACAAGAGTTATAATGCCTACTGTGAACGTAACAATATATAAATTGCCACCACTACATGTTGTCACGTTCAATTAGAGGACTTACTAGGATTAGAAGTGGTGACAATGCCGGTGTCCATGAAATCACAATCAAAATCGTTGTGACCATTGGCTTGATAATATGCATTCATGGCATAAGATGCGTGTGATCTGATGTTATTAGGCTCAAAGCAAATCCCACCATCTTGTATGGGCTTACAATCAACTCCTGATGCACAGACGAAGTCTAGATTATTTTGCAATGCTGCATCACTTGCATCTACTTTTGGTACACACCATTTCTTGCCCTCGTCGATTATTGGAGATGGAGCAGCTATGGGAGTCACACTCTATTACGAAATAATCCAACATGAGTAAAAAGTTAACTATAATCAGTTTTTATAATCCGTTCCTCTTCAGCGAATCACAATCCTCTGCAAAAATAATATACCTGGGAGTTGCGCAAAATGCCCACGTCGTAAACGGGTGAGAAATCGGGTTGAAAGAGACCGAAATTCCGCTCAGGGGTTCCCGGCTTCAGATTCTCGTTGAAAAGGGAGAAAATATAAGTCTCGAAAGTCCTATTGGGCATCAACGGCGTTCCCACGCCGGAATTCACATGCTTCACCAAGTTTGCATTATAAGAAACTGCATTGTCCAAGCTAACTCCCACCTGGTTCGGGTCACCGACCGAAGGCCAACCAGTTTCGGCCACCACGATGTCCACGTCATCATATCCCAGCCTCTTCATCGCTGAATAAACTGCGTCCAGTTGCCCGTCGAACATATTGGTGTAGTTTAATCCCGTGGCCTTGTCGAAAATGCCACTGTTTGGTTTGAACAAAGCGTAATCCAGAGTTTCCTCGGAGAATCCAAAGTACGGGTACGGGCAGACCATGAATGGTGTTTTTGTTTGGCGGTGAAATTCCAACATGGGTTCGAATATGACATGGTCGTACCCGCGTCTAAACCGCCCAGCACTGGGTGGCTGGGAAATGGGTAGAATTCCAAGAGAATGAGGAGTGGAGACTTGAATATCAGTGATTTGAGCGAGTTTGAGAGCTTCGTTCATGGATCTCATGGCTGGTACGAGGTGGGCTATGAGGTATTTGTCCCCAGTGGCTAGGATTTCATTCCCAACGGCTATGCGATGAATTTTGGTGTCAGGGTAGAAAGGGAGGACGTTATTCGCCACCCATGTTTGGGCGGCGGGGAGCTTTGAGATGCTTACGATGTCGCCGTTGGCGACGGAGATGGTGACCAAAACTCCAGTGTTGGCAAAAGCTCGAAGGATGTCTGGATTAGCGTCGAAGATTTTGACTCTGTCAATGGTGGTTTGTTCTTTGATGAAAACAGCCACTTGAGATGGCGGTGGGAGGTTGTCAGCCACCGTGCCATAGTTGACGCCGATGGTGTACTCCGCCGTGGACAGTTGGTGGGTGTAAAAGATAAAGAGAGAGATTAGACGAAGGGCGTTGAAATGGTAAGTAGTCATGTCTTTTTTTGGGAGTTCTTGAGTTGTGAGGTTCTTGAAAGAAACAAGAGTGATGAATGTGAAGTGCGGAGAATCTGAAAATATAAGAAGGATACAGTAATACAATAGACTCTGAAACGTGGTACAGAAACAGGGGGACGAACGTGAAGTGGAAGGGAATCTGAAAAGTGAAGAGGGGTAGAGTAATACAGTAGAGGCTGAAACGTGGTACGGAAACAGGAAGGACAGTTTGAGGGAGATGGTACGAGGGAGTGGGAGAGTGGCTTTTGTATTTTTTCTAGTTCATCATTTCCTAGGGAATATTTTACCGAAAATCACCTTGAGTATAAAAAAAATTAGGATAAATATATATGTACAAACTTTGGTGTACAAAATCTTTCACTCACTCTCACATATATGCGGGTCTCAGGTGCATTTTAAAAATGATAGCTTGTGGTTGTGAGTAAACTATTTTTTTAAAAGTGTGAGTGCATGTAGACTTGTCCAAAAAACTAATCTAAGCTGATAGAAAATATATGACAGAAATATTGACCGGCACTAACAATGCATGCTAGACTTGCGTGCATTTAAACTCTGAGAAAAGGTGAGCCCCTCTTATTGTAAGTATTCGAGTAGGTTGCATGTCAACCATTTTTTTATCAGTGTAGCTTGATTGGCATAAAAATTGCATGTACATTTTTCTTTACATTTTTGTTGACTCTCTTATCTATTAAAGTCGTTGATTTTGAATCTATCTATCACATCTTTGTAGATTATATTAATATTATGGTAATTAGCACAAAACGTCCATACCTTTTGTTTGTTTGGCGGATTTCATCCCTACCTTTACCTTTTTTTGAGCAAAACATCCTTATGTCAACTCTCTGTTTAAATGCTCCGTTAAATCAAAGGGTAATTAGCACAAAATGTTCATAACTTTCAATATTATCGTGCGAAAAGTCCCTACCTTTCATTTTTTAGCATAATTAGCACAAAATTGTTGACATGGTTGACTTCGGTCTATGTTTTGATTATAACAAACAAGATTTAATTTTGGTTCTAACAAACCTACTTTTGAATCATGATAGTTGAAATCAAATCGACCATCGCATCAAAATGAAGATTCATGCATAGGACAAGATAAATGCACTCATGAAGAACGAAACAAATGCCAATGTCAAGAGGAATCAAGATTGAAGTCATAAACCTAGATGATCGAGCATATTTAAGAAAATTATATTAGAACTCTTGAATTTATATGTATAGGTATAACATTTTAATATTTAGCAAAAAAGTCTCGGGAGCTCAAAATAAAATCATTCAAGGCAAAATCTATTTTTGAGAATTGAGCTATCGGACGGTCTGGTAGTGTACCGGACAATCCGGTAAAGGTTTTTGCCCAACGATCAAAATTTTTAACGTTCTGATACCTGACTCACCAACGGCTAGTAGCCTTGTTCGGTACGTACCGGACGGTCCGGTACACTTGTCTGGTAGGACAGACTCTTGATCGTTAGGAAGATGTTTGAGAGCTATAAATATCACTTTCTCTTCACTATTTATATGACTGTTTATGAGCATTAAGTGAAGTATTTTATTGATTCTCTCAACCTTATTTTTCACTCTTTTAAAGATCAAATAATTCATTTATTGAAAAACTTTTTGAGTGATCAAAAGTTGAAAAATCATTTATCTTAACTAAAGTTTTTCAATCAAAACACTTGAACTACCTTCTTTGCTATCAATTAAAGTATTTATCTACTTCTCTCTTATATTCAAACTAAGTCTATATCATTTATTAAGAGAGAAGTTTTTCACTTGTAATTTCAATTCTCTTATTTTTGGATTGTGGGTCGTGTTGAGGTCTTGGAAATCTCAACGGTGTAAAAGGATCGGTACTCCTTGATTGTAAATCACCGGAAACTTTGTAAATGTTAGATTGCACCATAAGTCAATCAAATATAGTGGAAAAGACCTTACTCGTGACGGAGAGTTTGGTAATGAGGAACATAGATTGTTGTTTGGATCGAACATCCTTATTACATCGTTGCTTACTTATTATATTAATTGTTATTTGCTTAAATTTGAAATTATTTTCGAAAAAGTTTCAAATAACCAATTCACTCCTCTCTTGGTTAATTGTTCTTGGGCTGTAAAAAATGTCATACCTTTCAATGTTATTGTGCAAAACATCCATATCTTTTATTTTTTGAGATTTTCACCCTTATCTTTCACATTTCATTGCTAAAAAAGTCATTTTTATCCTTTTTTTCCAATAAAATAATGATTTTACCCTCCTATTCAAATAAAACAAAAAGAAAAGAAAAGAAAAATAAATAACTAATTGTAATCATAGTCCTGGATCTTTCAAAATATTACAGATAAGTTCTAAATTCTCCACTACCACCACTTTCACAACCCCACTAAGCCGCCACATATAGATCTATATAGCACCATCTTTCGACCACAACACCCATCAGACTCTACAACCACCAGCCTCGCCTCACTCTCCCCAGTATCATCCTCCATAGTATTGGTCACCAATCTATCCAAAACAACCACATTTATAGCCCAAAATACCAAATTGTCGTATACAACCCTTCATGACAATCTCACTTTTGGCGCCACCCACGGTCACACACTACCACCGATGGTTACACCTCGCCTCGACGAATCTATACTTGGCCTCACATCATTCAAAACTACCTCAAATCATTTTGTTGTAATTCTAGAACATTCGACAGTGCGCGACGTATTTTGCCAAAATCTTCTCCTTCAATTCATGCATCCCGCAACACTAATTTCCGAAATTGACATCAATCGAAAAATCAACAAACCCAAGCGACAATGTATATGAATTTAATTGAACAAATTATCCCCTCAACCGTTTCAATTTTTGGTCCAAAACTCTTACGGGTGCGATTCACGATGAGAGAACCAAAATTGGTGGGTCCTTAGTACTCCAATCTTTCAAATTCCTGTGTAAGAGGATGGTGGTGGAGTCCGTTGGGCATGGTGGCAGAAAGGTGGTGCTATGTGGATCTATAGGTGGCAGCTTGATAGGTTGTGAAAGTGGTAGCGATTGAGAATTTATGATTTCTTTGTAATTTTTTAAAAATTTAAGGACTATGGTTGAGTTGGTAATTCATCTTTTTTTTTCTATTTGAATAGGAGGGTAAAATTGATATTTTATTGAAAAATGGATAAAATGTAAAATCGACATTTTATTGAAAAATGGATGAAAATGACATTTTGCGCAATGAAATGTAAAATGTATGGGTGAAAATGCTAAAAAATAAAAGGTATGGACGTTTTGTACAATAATATTGAAAAGTAAGGACCTTTTATACTAATTATACCAAAAAATGAAAGGTAAAGACGTGTTGCACAATAATATTGAAAGGTAGGGACTTCTGGTGCAAATTACCTTTTGATTTAATAGAGCATTTTAACGAGGAGTTGACAGAATGACGTTTTGAGCAAAAAAAAAAAAGAATGTGAAGGTGAAATTTACCAAAAAATAAAATGTAGGGACGTTTTCCACAAAAATATCAAAAGGTAGGGACGTTTTATGCTAATTACCGTTAATATTATACTAAATGAGAGATATAATTAAGGGTGTGTTTGAGTCTCTTTAATTTTGAAAAATGTATTATGGAATAGTAGATTGATGGTGAATGTAGGGACGTCAACGAGCCGAAATTCTAGGCTCGAGTAAAATATCCGAGCTTTTTTCGGGCCCAAGCCAGGCCGAGCAATAGCTCAGCAAAAAAAATTAGGCTCGACCTGGACCGGCTCGGGTTTTGTTTGGTTTTGGGTTTTTTTTTTTTTTTTTTTTTTTTTTTTGGTTTGTTTTTTTTTTTTTTTTGTTTTTGGTTTTTTTTTTTTTTTTTTTTTTTAATAAAAGAGGCAGCTTAGGTGGCTACCTTAAATGGCAGCTAAAAATGGGGCTCAGCTCGAGCTTTTTCTGAGTCGACGAGCCCGATTGTCATCTTTAGGTAAATGTCTAGTTAAAAAAAGAAAAAAATTTGGTCTGTATGTAATATTATTTTAATGAGAAATGTATGATTAAAAATGAGTGCTGCAAAAAAAAAAAATGTGGTAGAATCAAGAATGTAACATAATGGGCAGGCTAAATAAATAATTTAATTTTACTTTTCATACCTATCACTTGGTGTCATTTATACTTATGTCACGTACCAACGAACAAGCATTATTCGTAAACAAGAGTAGCCAAATTTAAAGGATTGGACTTCCGAGTACTAGAATCCAGACCACACGGTTCAATTTGTTTTTTTGATTTTAGCACATTTAGTATAGATTTTAAAAATTTATTTATTTTTAAGCTCATTTTTAATCATAATTTTTTTTCCCAATAATATAATTTTGCATATGGATCCTATTTTCAATCACATGTTCGCCAGCGTTTTACAAACTTTATTTTAAAAAAAAATTACATCAAATATGCCCTTAGTATTGGAAACTAGAAATTTGAGTACTAGATTCAACATTGAACAATTCAATTTGATCCTCAATTTTAGTGTTTGGGACAAGAAATTCAAATGAGGCGAAATTTAATTTAATTTATTTTTTTTTTCAAAAATATTGCACCAATCAGATTGAAGTATTACCGAATTTAAAATAATTTGTGTCCACTCTTCTTTTTTGTGAGAAGCATTAGATGAGTTCGAGAAGTAAAATGAGTTTTCTAATCATGAAACTGAAAGTTTAATATCATAATTACAATTGGAACCAACTATTCCATTTACTAATTTTTATTGATTATCGATTTAGTTCGATTCTATTCAAAATCGGATAATGTCCACCCTAAAATTTACAAGTTTACTTCATTTTGACTTAAGAGCATGTTTGGATGCTTTTTGACAAGCATTTTCTATAATAAGTCGTGTGAACCAAAACCCTATTAATAGGTTAATCACGTTTTTAAGCACCCCAAACATGCTCTATTAACTTCAATCTACTTTTCTAATAAAGTAAATCAACTTATGTAGTTAGTTTAGTTCGAGCTGACTACATGCATGACCTAGCACTTATTTGACATTAAATCAGTAGCTTTGCCAAAAATGAGAACTCAAATGAGCGAATTAAAAATCTTAAACTTGTCATTTTTTAAATTAACTTTCAATTTGTTTGTAAACTAATTATTAATTTAGTGTCAAATAAATGAATAAGTGTCATGCTATGCATTCCATTAGCTACTTGAGATTGACAATTAATTTTGGTTTAAATTGCATAGTGATCAAAACTGAAACAAATAACATAAGATGTGAAGGATTGAATTGAAGAAGATTAGAGTTGAAAGATCAATATGAAACCAACTTGTAATTGAGTAACATTGATTGAAATTATTGCTCATTTCATAATTTGTATTCTCTCCATTCTTCAAATGTTATTTTTATTCGATCAAAATCACACATTTAAATTACTTCTTATTTATTAGCTATACATTTCGTGGGGGTCAGGAAAAGCAACTAAAACTAAATCAATAGCTGGTGTTTAAAAGGAAGCTACATCAATGGAGGCTAGCCTAGCACGACAAAGTACAACCTCTGAGAAAGCAGAAAGAATCTAAGAATGTATGAGGTAGAAGGAAA